CACCTCCCCGCAGAGGACCAACGTGCACTACGGCGGGACGCTCCGGCTGGACTGCAGCGCCTCGGGGGACCCCTGGCCGCGCATCCTGTGGAGGCTGCCCTCCAAGCAGATGATCGACACCTTCTTCAGGTATGTGCGCCCCTGGCCCCTGGTCCCTGGCTCGCCATCCATCCATCCACCATTGCGCTCCTGCGCACCATCCATCCACCCACCATTGAGCTCTGCGCGCCATCCATCCATCCATCCACCATTGCGCTCCTGTGGGCCATCCATCCATCCATCCATTGCGCTTCTGTGCGCTATCCATCCATCCGCGCATCCTGTGGAGGCTGCCCTCCAAGCAGATGATTGACACCTTCTTCAGGTATGTGCGCCCCTGGCCCCTGGCCCCTGGCCCCTGGCTCGCCATCCATCCACCCACCATTGAGCTCTGCGCGCCATCCATCCATCCACCATTGCGCTTCTGTGGGCCATCCATCCATCCATCCATTGCGCTCCTGTGGGCCATCCATCCATCCACCATTGCGCTCCTGTGCGCTATCCATCCACCTACCATTGCGCTCCTGCTCCATCCATCCATCCATCATTGCGCTTCTGTGCGCTATCCATCCATCCACCATCGCGCTCCTGCTCCATCCATCCATCCACCATCGCGCTCCTGTGCGCTATCCATCCATCCACCATCGCGCTCCTGTGCGCCATCCATCCACCTACCATTGAGCTCCTGCGCGCCTCTCCTTTCGCGGATGGAGACGGTCCCATTGGGGCCGTCCTTGGGCAGGATGAAGGCGCACAGGTCTTGCTCCCCGTGCGCGCTGGTTCCGGGGGGACATTTCGTTTTTCACACAAGGATGTCTGGTCTTTATAAGCTACAGTGCCTGTTGGGCCAGCCCCACATAGGTTCTCTCTCTCTCTCTCTCTCTCTCTCTCTCGTTAAACCTAGAATATTTTTCCCATTGATTTTTTAAAAATATATTTTTATTGATTTCAGGGAGGAAGGGAGAGGGAGAGATAGAAAATATCAATGATGAGAGAGAATCATTGATCGGCTGCCTCCTGCACGCCCCCTACTGGAGATGTGCCCAAAACAAAGGTACATGCCCTTGACCGGAATCGAACCCAGGACCCTTCGGTCCGCAGGCCGACGCTCTATCCACTGAGCCAAACAGGTTAGGGCCCCATTGATTTTTTAAAAATATATTTTTATTGATTTCAGAGAGCGAGGGGGAGAGAGAGAGAGAGAAAATATCAATGACGCCCTAGCTGGTTTGGTTCAGTGGATAGAGCGTCACCCTGCGGACTGAAGGGTCCCCGGTTCATTCCAGCCAAGGGCACATGCCTGGGTTTCGGGCTTTATCCCCAGTGGGGGATGTGCAGGAGGCCGCCAATCAATGATTCTCTCTCATCATTGATGTTTCTATCTCTCTTTCCCTCTCCCTTCCTCTCTGAAATCAATAAAGATATATTAAAAAAAAAAAAAAGAAAATATCAATGATGAGAGAGAATCATTGATCGACTGCCTCCTGCACGCCCCCTCCTGGGGATCGAGCCGGCAACCCGGGCATGTGCCCTTGACCGGGAATCAAACCCGGGACCCTTCCGTCCTCAGGCCCACGCTCTATCCTCTGAGCCACACCAGCCGGGGCTGTGGGGACGTGCGTGGAGGTGTCGTTGGCGCGCCTGAGGCAGCAGGGAGTACGAAAGAATGCCACCCAGGCCACAATGAAACCATTCTACCCGTATCGCTCTCCCTCTAAATCATCAACGGTGACATCTGACTATTTATCTTTCTCGTTCGGGGCAATTAAACAACCCACGTGTGTTTGATGAGCGAAAGGCGCCTGGCCCTGGGGACACACGGAGAATGTTTAAACATGCAGATGTTGGAACGCCCAGGCGTGCGTGGGCACAGCCATGGCTCACAGTGGCTCATTTCATTCTGATTACGATCGGGTATCCATCCATCCACCATCGCGCTCCTGTGCGCCATCCATCCACCTACCATTGAGCTCCTGCGCGCCTCTCCTTTCGCGGATGGAGCCGGTCCCATTGGGGCCGTCCTTGGGCAGGATGAAGGCGCACAGGTCTTGCTCCCCGTGCGCGCTGGTTCCGGGGGGACATTTCGTTTTTCACACAAGGATGTCTGGTCTTTATAAGCTACAGTGCCTGTTGGGCCAGCCCCACATAGGTTCTCTCTCTCTCTCTCTCTCTCTCTCTCTCGTTAAACCTAGAATATTTTTCCCATTGATTTTTTAAAAATATATTTTTATTGATTTCAGGGAGGAAGGGAGAGGGAGAGATAGAAAATATCAATGATGAGAGAGAATCATTGATCGGCTGCCTCCTGCACGCCCCCTACTGGAGATGTGCCCAAAACAAAGGTACATGCCCTTGACCGGAATCGAACCCAGGACCCTTCGGTCCGCAGGCCGACGCTCTATCCACTGAGCCAAACAGGTTAGGGCCCCATTGATTTTTTAAAAATATATTTTTATTGATTTCAGAGAGCGAGGGGGAGAGAGAGAGAGAGAAAATATCAATGACGCCCTAGCTGGTTTGGTTCAGTGGATAGAGCGTCACCCTGCGGACTGAAGGGTCCCCGGTTCATTCCAGCCAAGGGCACATGCCTGGGTTTCGGGCTTTATCCCCAGTGGGGGATGTGCAGGAGGCCGCCAATCAATGATTCTCTCTCATCATTGATGTTTCTATCTCTCTTTCCCTCTCCCTTCCTCTCTGAAATCAATAAAGATATATTAAAAAAAAAAAAAAAGAAAATATCAATAATGAGAGGGAACCATTGATCGGCTGCCTCCTGCATGCCTCCTACTGGGGATTGAGCCCACAACCTGATCATGTGCCCTTGACTGGAATCAAACCTGGGACCCTTCAGTCCACAGGCCAATGCTCTATCCACTGAGCCAAATCAGCTAGGGTGCTAAGTCCTGTTATTATTTCATTTTATAGATGAGGAAATTGGGGCATAGAGAGGGTCAGTTACCTACAAAGAGAGCCAAACTCAGGCAATCTGACTTCTGAACTCACACTTTTAACCACAAGACAGCTGCAACTCTGCTCAGCATAGACTGTACTGTGTCTCTGACCTTCAACTTCATTCTCTCAAACCTGCTTCCTCCTTGTGCAAGGGATGCATTCTTCCATGGCTGGAAATTCTCATACTCCCAAAAGAGGGTGGAGATTCATTCACTGCTGTAGCCCCAAGGTGCAACGTGTACGCATAGTTGGTACACATTTGCTGAATCAATGAATTAATGGATTACTGAGAGGTGCAGAGACTTGGAGACACTTAGATTATATCCAATAGGATTCTTTGGTTGCCAGCAACGAACCTTATATTCAAACTAAGGACCTTTCTACTTAGGTCCACTATGAAAAATCCCAAGGAAGGACCCCGACTGACCCAGCCTGGGTCCTGTCCTGTCACTGAACCAATCACTGACCAGGGGGTGGGATCACATATGAAATAGCAGTTTCCAATTGGATCATGTGAATAGAGCTGTGGAGGGGGATCAGCAATTCACTTGAAAGGGGGTGGTTCTACTGAGGCTGCTGAGGGTCACATGGGAAGCTTCTCCCACTGGGGATGAGGGAGGAAGTCCTTGCTCTTGGTAAACTCATTGCCAGGCAACCTGAGCTTCCAGGTCATCCACCAGATAATTGTTTGCCTTTCTCCACTATCCACCTCTCAATCATGGCAGATCATGAAACATAAACCTGCTGTTCAAACAAATAAAAAACCCTGCTGTTCCACTGCTACTAGCTCTAGAGTGATTCCCTATATAATGATTCTCTAAATCCTGCTCATAGTTCTGTAAATAGCCCCTTTATTAGAAGTTATCTTACTCAAGTTATTCTAATTTACTGACCCTCCATTTCTTTTTAGGGCTATGATTGATATAGCCAAGTCCACCTCAAGCCAGCAATACACTTAAGAGGTCCACCTAGTAGGCCAGGAGTGCAGCTCTTCAAATATCAGTGGCTCCTATGTGTTTCCACTAAATTCCTCATTGGATACCCCAGTTCTCTATGGCAGTTTTGTTACCATGGAGGGTTGGAGCAAGGTTACAGCAAACCATTAAAGATATCATGGCCACCCAACTCAATCTGCTTTCTCATTTTAGCTGCTTTCTCCAAAATGTGGCCCATACTTGGGGCAAGTCGACATATGGCATGCAAATTATAGCTAATTGGTTATACGTATTCATTTCCACAGGGGAGTACCTCATAAGGGTGTATTCTTAATGTTCAGTCCGGAGGGCTGGGGTATCTGACCTGATCAGACAGATGGCCTATAAAAAATGCCCTATTTCTAATAATGGAGATTTAGCCCTGGCTGGTGTTTCTAAGTGGTTAGAACTTCAGCCTGCATACCGAAGGGTCAAAGATTTGATCCCTGGGAGGCCACCAATCAATGTGTGTGTGTGCAACCTGGGCATGTGCCCTGACCAGGAATCAAACTGTGACCTTCTGGTTCAGAGGTTGATGCTCAACCACTGAGCCACACTGGCCAGGCAATGCATGGTCATTCTTATTTCAATAATCCTCCTTTACCTTTTGTTTCTTTTTTAGCTGAAACCCCCTTTTTAAAAAAATATATTTTATTGATTATTTACAGAGAGGAAGGGAGAGGGATAGAGAGTTAGAAACATCGATGAGAGAGAAACATTGATCAGCTGCCTCCTGCAC